ATCAAGCATTGCTTGTCAATATATGTACGTATAAGTTGAAAACAAAGCATTTTAAAACAATATAGGTAGGTTTAGGTTGAAAAACAAATCATTTCTTAACAAGATATATAGGTTTAGGTTTGAAAAATAAAGCATTGCTCAACAATATAGGTATGTTTAAGTTGAAAAACAAAGCATTTTTCAGCAATATATATATAGGTTTAGGTTGAAAAACAAAGCATTGTTCAACAATATACGTAGGGTGAAAAATAAAGCATTGATTAACAATATATGGAGGTTTAGATTGAAAAACAAAGCATTGCCCAACAATATACGTAACTTGAGGTTGAAAAACAAAGCATTGCTAAACAACATATGTAGGTTTACGTTGAAAAATATAGCATTGATCAAAAATATATGGAGGTTTAGGTTAAAAACAAAGCATTGTTCAACAATAAATGTAGGTTTACGTTGAAAAATATAGCATTGATGAACAATATATGGAGGTTTAGATTAAAAACAAAGCATTGCTCAACAATAAATATAGGTTTAGATTGAAAAACAAATCATTGCCCAACAGTATACGTAACTTTGGGTTGAAAAACAAAGAATTTCTCAATAACATAGGTAAGTTTAAGTTGAAAAGCAAAGAATTGTTCAAAAATACACGAAGATTTAGGTTGAAAACAAACCATTTATCAATAACATATGTAGGTTTAGGTTGGAAAATAAAACATTGCTCAAAAATATTTGTAGGTTTAGGTTCAAATACAAAGAATTGCTCAACAATATATGTAGGTTTAGGTTGAAAAATATAGCATTGCTGAACAATATTCGTAGGTTTAGGTTCGAAAATAAAATATTTCTCAACAACATATGTAGATTTAGGTTGAAAAATAAACAATTGTACAAGAATATATATATATATATATACAGTTTAGGTTTAAAAAAGCATTACTCAACAATATTCGTAGGTTTAGGTTGAAAAACACAACATTTCTCAATAATATATGAAGGATTAGAATGAAAACCAAAGCATTGCTCAACAACATATGTACGTTTAAGTTGAATAATAAAACTTTGCTCAACAGTATATGTAAGATTAGGTTAAAAAATAAAGCATTGCTCAAAAATATATGTAGGTTTAGATTGAAAAGCATAGCATTTCTCAATAATATATGAAGGTTTAGATTGGAAACAAAGCACTTCTCAACAACGTGTGTAGGTTGAAGTTGAAAAACAAAGCATTGCTCAACAATATATGTAGGTTTGGGATTAAAAAATAAAGCATTTCTCTACAATATACGTAGGTTTAGGTTGTAAAACAAAACATTTCTCAACTACATCTGTAGGTTTAGGTTGAAAAATATAGCATTGCTCAAAAAGATGTGTAGGTTTAGATTGAAAAGCAAAGCATTGCTAAACAACATATGTAGGTTTAAGTTTGAAAATAAAGCATTGCTGAACAATATACATAGGTTTAGGTTTTAAAAATGCATTACTCAACAACATAAGTAGGTTTAGTTTGAAAAGTATAGTATTTCTCAAGAATGTACGTAGGTGTAGGTTGAAAAATAAAGCAATGCTCAACAATATATGTAGGTTTGGGATAAAATGTATAGCATTGCTCAACAATATATGTAGGTTTAGGTTGAAAAAGAAAGGATTGATCAACAAGATATGTAGGTTTGAGTTAAAAAAAGCATTGCTGAACAATATACGTAGGTTTGGGATAAAATGTATAGTATTACTCAACAATATAGGTAGGTTTAGGTTGAGAAAGAAAGCATTGTTCAACAATATACATAGGTTTAGGTTGAAAAAGAAAACACTTCTCAACAACATATGTAGGTTTAGGTTTAAAATTAAAGCACTGCTAATCAATATATAGGTTTGGGTTAAAAATAAAGCATTGCTCAAAAATATACGTAGGTTTAGTTGAAAAACAAATCATTTCTTAACAACATATTTAATTTTAGGTTGAAATACAAAGTATTGCTCAACAAGATATGTAGGTTTAAGTTTTAAAAAAAGCATTACTCAATGATGTATGTTGGTTTAAGTTAAAAAACAAAGCATCGTTCAACAATATATATAGGTTTAGATTTAAAATCAAAGCTTTGCTCAACAATATACGTAGGTTCAGGTTGAAAATAAAGTATTTCTCAACAACATATGTAAATTTAGGTTGAAAAATAAAACATTGTTCAACAGTATATATAGTTGTAGGTTGAAAATGAAAGCATTGCTCAAAATATATGTAGGTTTAGATAGAAAAGAATAGCATTGTTCAATAATATATGCAGATTTAGGTTGAGAAAGAAAGCATTTCTCAACAACATATATAGGTTTGGGTTGAAAAACCAAGCATTGCTCAACAATATATATAGGTTTACTTTGAAAAACAGATCATTGCTTAACACTATATTTAGGTTTGGGTTGAAAAACAAAGCAGTGCTCAATAATATAGGTAGGTTTAGGTTGAAAACAAAGCACTACCCAACAATATAGATAGGTTTAGGTTGAAAAACAATGCATTACTCGACAATATAGATAGGTTCAGCTTGAAAAATAAAGTATTGCTCAACAATATATGTAGGTTTAGGTTGAAACAAAGCATTTCTTAAAACATATCTCCGTTTAGGTTGAAAAAGAAAGCATTGCTCAACTATATACGTAGGTTTAGGTTGAAAAGGTTGAAGCATTGGTCAATAACATAAGGAGGTTTAAGTTGAAAAACAAAGCATTGCTTAATAACATATGTAGGTTTAGATTGAAAAACAAAGCATTTCTCAACAATATATGTAGGTTTCGGTTAAAAACAAAGCATTGTTCAACAATATATATAGGTTTACGTTGAAAAACAAAGCATTGCTTAACACTATATTTAGGTTTGGGTTGAAAAACAAAGCAGTGCTCAATAATATATGTAGGTTTAGGTTGAAAACAAAGCATTACTCAACAATATAGGTAGGTTTAGTTTGAAAACAAAGCATTACTCAACAATATAGATAGGTTTAGGTTGAAAAACAAAGCATTGCTCAACTATATACGTAGGTTTAGGTTGAAAACAAAGCATTGCTTAACAATATATCTAGGTTTCGGTTGAAAAACAAGAAATCCAGTTATTTAATAAATGGAAGCTTCACCTTAAAGCGTTGATTTGTGAGATTTTGACGTTTCTCACAACAATCACAATATGTTCGTAATGCAAAAAACAAAGAAAGAAAGAAAAACGTTTATGGTCAAAAACATTTATAACGTACATGGTTAGAAAACGTTCGTAATACACAGCAATAAGTAGGTGCATGATTAAAAACCGTTTGTAAAGCATGATAACAAGACTATGTATGATCTGAAATCGTTTGTAACGCATGAAAATATGACGTATAATCAGAAACCGTTTGAAACTCATGAAAATAAGTACACGTGTTGTGAGAGTGCTTGTAACGCATTACAATAAGTGGACGTGTTTTGAGAGTTTTCGTAACGCATTACAATAAGTGGACGTGTTTTGAGAGTTTTCGTAACGCATTACATTAACGGCCTTTGTGTTCAAGGAATGTTTATAATAGTGACGATGTAAAAGTAAGAGTGTAAAGTTAACTGTTAGATACGCACCAAGGGAAGAAAAGCGTAGCAGTTTTACTCAACATAATGAAGTCGTAGTTCTAAACCTTATCGTGACCACATTAAGGGAATATCGTACTGTCGAGTTGCCTTCATTGCCAGATGAAAACGCACAAGCACTACACGAGTATATATATGAATAATTAAATACAGATTGTCATTTGCATTGCTACTCATGTGTGATGTATACACCTGGAAAAAAGTTAAGCACCCCGTGTTTTTTTCAAGTGATTC